CCTGAGGGATGCCGGGGTTTGGGGGTTGAGAAACTGTATCTCCGCCTCAAAAAGGCATTATACGGCCTTAGGTCCGCCGCTCCTCACTGGACCAAGCACCTTGCGGGGCTTCTGGAGCGTCTGTTCTCGCTCAAATCTTGCCCAACCGAACCCTGTTTGTTCGCGGGTGAGTACCGAGGCAAGAGGGTGCTGCTGTTGGCCTATGTCGACGACATCTTGTTGTCCTGTGAGGACACTGGGTTGATGTATGAGATGGTCGAGAAACTAGGGGCCGAGGTCAAACTGAAGGTCACTGCTGACCTGGCAAGGGATGGCGAAATCACGTTCTTGGGGCACAAGATCCTGAGGTCAGAGCCGCAGGGTTCGTTGAAGTTCGGAATGGACCCGGGGTATCTTGATGATGTCATGGAAGAGTGTAACCTCAAGGGCGCAAAGGGGTGCCCGAATCCACCGAACCTCAGGGATCTGTATGACAGGGCGCTTGAGAGTGAAGAGTTGTCCCGACCTTTAAGTCAGGAGGCGTCTGCACGTTTCCGCCGGGCACTTGGAAAAATGGCCTGGCTGGCGACGACGCGCGGGGGCCAGGCAGACCCCAGGGAGTATCATGAGAGAGCCATCCGGGGCACTCTGAGGTACCTTCAAAACGGTCTCAAGTTTCTTCCAGATCTTTCCACACCAGAGGGATCAGGACCTGAGAATCCGCGTGTTCGTGGACGCATTTTGGGGTTCAGAGCGGTCGGTCTCACGCAGATCGATTTCTGGAGGGTGCGTCATGTTGGGTTCCGCTTGCGTGAAGTCGTGGGCCAGATTGCAGCAGTCTGTCGCTCTTTCCTCCGCAGAGTCTGAGTTGTACGCATTGACTGAGGGGGCGAGAGAGTCGATGGGTCTCAGGTGCGCAATAGGACACGTAACTGGCTTCCAGCCAGAAAGTCAACACGTGCCTACCATCTTCTGCGACAGTGAAGCAGCCATCAACGTGTCGAAGATGGAAGGGTTGCGTAAGCTGAGACACATAGACTTGAGGGCATGCTTCATTCAACATGAAGTCCAGTCCGGATCCATTGTGGTCAAGCCCGTCAAAGGCAAGGACAATCCCGCCGACGTCTTCACAAAGTGTTTAGATGGTCCCAGTACACTTCGCCACATGGCCAGCTTGGGGCTCCAGGAAGTCCAGCTAAGAAAAGGGTCTGCGTGTGCCGTGGGTCTTCTAAAAATTTTGTGTCGAAAGGGGAGTGGGTATCCTTGGCTGACAGGGTAGGGCTTAAGAAGGGTCACAGATCTCCTCTCCATTCCAACATGCACAGGGTTGCGAGGGAAGAGTTTCCGAAGATTTGTGTCCTTACCGTTACCGAGAGGGATGACGGGAGGAGACCGGAGACGGTCGCTGCAATCAAGGGTGTTATCGCATCCGCCTTGGAACGCAGCGTCAGCGTCTTCTTATGGTCCTCGACCCCATGTACGGGGGGGTGCCCGCACCAAAAGATGCATCTCCAGAGACAGGGTTCCGCCTACAAGGGTCATTTGAAGGGCCTGTGGGACTGCCGCAAGCGTTTGTGGGGTAACTTTGTCAGCCTGACGAAGTTCACACACGGCTGGGCCATCGAGTGGCCAGCGCGTTGCGCCTACTGGTCCTGGGGTCAGGCCCAGAACTTTCTCCGAGCCTCCAGGCCTACCTTGTACGACTGTCGTGTGGACGCTTGTGCTGCGGGGATGAAGGGAAACGACGGGGAACTTGTGTCGAAGCGTTGGAGAGTGGTGACTACGCATGCAGGGGTTGCGGAAGGTCTTGGAGGGCTGACGTGTGACGTTTCTGCAATGATTCAGGAGCTCGAAACGCGAACAGCGCTTCAAATTGCAGTATTTACGGCGTATGAAAAGCCCGTGAATGCTGTAACTCCTGGGAATTTGTGCACTGTTAAGCAGGCGAGCGTACAGAAATACCATGATTTACAGGTTTTGCTGTGGTTTTTGCAAAGATTCAGGAGCTCCAAGCGCGGCAAGCCCTGCAAATTACAGTATTTGCAGCCCGTCGACCGCCCAGGTGTCGATCCAGACCTATATAGGAAAAAAAGAGGAGAGCCAGACCTAAGAAAAAAAACACCTCCGCCTACGCTCAGCCATCTCGATTGGTCGCATGCATGGCATGAGTTTCTAGTGCCGCGCTAAGCTCAATATATCTGAGTTGAGACAGCAAAGCAAAAGCAACAGACTACATTACCAGCACAATTTTTTGGTTTTTTCTTAAAGGGTAAACCCGGACTTTTTTCGCCGTGCTGTGACGCGAGCTATTTGGTCAAGTTCTAAAAGCATGACGTGGTCTTTTCGCACAATAAAAGGGTGCCTGGGGATTGCCAAAATTTCGAACGAGTGTACACAATACGGCGCAAAAAAACAGTGGCAAGGCACGATAAAAGAACCCCCTGGCTGTGGTCTCGAAGCTGCAAGCTCTGCATTTGGCATGAACCCAAGCCGCCCAAAAAACATCAAGGGCAACTCCCTGCTCCAAGCTGCATGGAGAATAGTATTTTTGACAAGGTCTTTTCGCACAAAGAGTGTGTGGCTTAAATTGTCAAGCTCTTTTGACTTGACCAAATAGCTCGCGCCAAAACATGGCGAACAAATCCGGGTTTACCTTCAAATACAAAACAAAAACCTGCGCTGGTAACGTAATCGTGGCTCCAGAAATTTCGTTTGGGGGGAATGTTAGGTTGTCACTGCTTCGGTGTTCAGACGTTCGGTTTTGGAAGCGTCCGGAAGCTCTGGAAGCAGCTATTGTCAGCAATGTGATCTGATGAATCGTGATTGCAAGGCGTCCGCGCCAAAGATACAAAGGTCCGTTTGATGGATGAGCAAGTGTGCTACAATGCAGAAATGGACCTGGGTCCACTGTTGAAGTGCAGGCTGCTGCGCTTGGATCCTCGGAGTTGTGCAAGCCCCCTCTGAATCTGGCATGTTGTTGGATGCCAGCTTCGGCTCACGAGTGTGTCCAAGATCCAAAATCCATATCAGTCAAACAGTCAAACTATAAACAACGAGCCTTTCAACACCATGTCACGTGTGTTCCATTGCTTTTACGCATCTGTTTGTTGTAACTCCAAGCCCAAGCTGCTGTGTCAGGACATGTCAGGGCGGTCTGAGGGATAGCTGCTCATATGAGATGCCAATATATTTCAAGAGCATGTTACTCCAGTGTTCGTTCATGACAACGTTACCTCCAAGGAAGATCATGTCAAGTGCGTGTTGTTTCGCGTTGACGTGCATCTCTTGCGATGGGGGTCACACCATGGTACCTTTCGGAACTGCCACCCGGCGAAAGCATCATCGCCAAACGATCTGCGCTTGACTGCAGACGTGCTGCCTCAGGTTTCAAAATCTCATCCAGGCGGTTTGTCGGCCGGTGCTCTAGATGTTCTGGATGTGTTTTGGCTTCCAGGTTTCGTGGAATGCATCAAATCCACGGAAATGGGAAAATATTGATGCCGAGGCCCGTGCGCAAAGCATGCAACATTGTGCAAGTCCATTGTGCTGAGTTCATGAATGTCGTGAATGCATGGCGACTGCAGTTTGTGCAGAAACACCAAAATGCGAGTGTCTCAGCAGAGCAGCCTAAAGAATTTCTGTCAGCTTGGCCATGGTGCAAGGAAATGCACGAGAGCGTGGCCAAACGAGTCATGCAAGAAGTCTACAAGAAGGTGGGGCAAAATGGTGTGGCAAGTCTGCTTGTTCTAGACCCTTCTCGGCCGGAGGCCGAGGCGAATGTTGGTCAATCCTGTGCAGGTGCCAGCGATGGTTCTTGACTGCATGACAGCTACTGAGTTGTGACACTGTGGTGGCCAGAACGAGCCCTGGGTATGCCATGCGACGGGCGAAAATTCTGCAAATTTTTAGGCCAACTGCAGCTTCAATCAGGCCCGGCTGATCAGTTGGCATTTCCCGCGCTTGTTGTTCTTGCGTGTTGGTCTGCAGGTTGGACTATGCAAGCGCGATGTCATCTTTGCGCACTCACAGTGATGTTGTGAAGGGCATTCGCAGAGGCATCGTGCAGCAGGTCCGGGACATCATGCGGACATGGTTTCAGTTGCAGAACGGGTCGCGGGACTTGAGGTGCAAGTCCCGCTCGAGACGGTTCGAGCCAGGGCCCCAGGAAGGGCTCCAAGTCGGGAGTGGTTTGTTAGGCCGTCAGCCTAGCAGTTAGCACTGAAGCCGCTTTTATATTTGCGAGAGAGCTGTTTGACATTGGAGTGGAGTAGAAGATTATTTCCCCGATGCTCTTCCAGGTAACTATGCTGCCTGTGGCCTGTGGGCAGCACCTCGGTGAATGTGGTCAATGTGCAGTCCGACACATATTTGAACAATGCTGCGTCGTGTGGAGTCTGTGGAAGTGGAGTCAGATTAGCGTGACAGTGCCGAGGATTGACTGTGAAGATGTTGAGAGCGCAGCGGCTGCGGTGAGCCGTGTCACGGACAAGGGCGGCGAGCCCGTGCTCGAGCCTTGAGCCATCATTGTCAGATGCATTCAGTTTACATAGTGCACACATGGCCGGCTCTGTCGCAAGGTCAAGTCAAATCAACAACAGGTTGTCTGAGGCAAGTCAGCCCAAATTCATTCAGACTCGAGTGGCCAGTATCCCCACAGCTTAGAAACCTTGATGTGCTGGCAGGTACCGGGCCTATCACCGGCAATGCACGTCATGAGTCTGAGGGTTAATTCCTGCCAAGAGTAGATGCGCATCGCCTCATTGTCGGATTTGGAAGTAGTGCACGCTCTGATGTCTCCTGGGCCAATCTGCCGTTCAGGTGATGGCGATTGATGCCGCGGCCCATGATGTTGGTCGTTATCCCGCCAGCACGCCATCGCGCTCAAGTAGCTGCGACAAGGCCCAGTCCAGCAATTTTCGCTGTCGGCTTCTGACCGTTAACAACCAGTTAAATCTGTAATCGCAAATGCTTGTGCGCGCCGCCTCGGCAGCTGGGCCCAACCACGTCCCACTCAAGGCAGGTCAAGGCTTGGGTGTGTTAGTGGGTGAGGTTCCAGGGGGGGTCCCAGGGAAAGATCGCAAAAAAGAGCATTGTAGTAGTTGGGCAAAAACCCCCACGGCATCGGTCTGCAGCTCCTCCGGGGGCTCACAGGAGGGAGGGAGGGGGGTGCATCGCAAATGCGGAAGGGTGGTTAGAAGGAGCTCGGTCGCTTGTTCTGGACACTTCTCGGCGAATTCCGAACCTTGCAAGGCACCAAGGAAGGATGACGAGGTCCTCTGCCAGTGAACGGGCAGCTGCGTGTCACGAAGCATCGTTGATGCCAGGTATATCGCGGGCGTCCTGCACGAAGTACTTTTATCCTGAACTCCAGCTTGAAGGCCGACGGCTACAGACCGCGTCATGGGTTCATAGATGCCTGGAACAACTCCACCATGGATGCCGCGTTCCATTGTCTGCAGGCACTTTCGTCGGTGCTCTCGAACCAGGCATACAAAGAGCTGGCCACGCAGACGTGGCGAGCGGACTATGGACACGAGCTGTTGGAGGCAGTCATGGCCCTGAACCAACACTAAAAGCAATGTACTTCCCTTGCACGGGCTTGTGGAGGCTGCGTCGTCGACAGAGGCTGTGAAGAAGCAGGTCCGTGAATCCGTGAATGGCAGTTGTTGGAAAAAACCTCGACGCCCGCCCGCACCTGAGGCTTCGGTGTCTTCAACGCAGTCTGGAGGGGGAACTTCGTGCGAAGCTGTGAAGGCCAAGGAAGTTGTGCCAACCATGCCTCTGCCAGCTGATATTGCTTTGCAGGCCAAACCCTTCGAAGCATCAGCAACAAGTCGTCAGGTGCAGCAGATCTCGTGATTGTTCATTGTCAACACTTGCGCGCCTGGCAGCCGGGCGGGCCCATACAGGGGGGGGATTCCAGGAACTTCGCAGGCATGAGCCAAGGGTGGGAGGAAAAGGATGCTGCTGCCGCGGTTCGGGGGGGCACAGCCCCTGCGTTTTTTGGGCAGACCTGAGTACACCTGCTGTTGCCGATGGGCAGACAAATAGTGGTGTGCTGGGCAGTGGAGACCCTGGTGTTACTGGTGGCCTGGAGATGGAGCAGGTCAACGACAACTGGCCAGTGGTGGAGCAACCTAGGGTTTTGGAGTCCAGCAATGGTGGCTTGGAGACTGCAGTGGCAGCCGAAGGATTTGGGGCAGTGCAGATGGTGCAGACCGCCATGGAAGGCACTGCGAATGCTGGTTCGCCGACAGCTGCGTCGCGTACAACTGGGCTGCCCACGCAGCTCCTCCAAGGGATCTGCCGGGGGGGGGGGGGCGGAAATGTGAGAGGGGCCCGCTGCGTTGTAGTTTTGGTTTGCTTGCAACTCCTGTCAGCTTGATTTCGGGTCCAAAGCTGACCACCCTGAGCCCGTTTAACCCCCCAAGCTTTGGCCGTCAGTGCCTTTGTGGATTGAAGCGCGGCGTTTTGGCGTTGACCTCCTCGGTCTGGAACTTCCCAGTTGTTGCAATGCATAGCTGGACGTTGTTGCAGGTCTTGCGTGTTCGCTGTCAGAACCCAACCTTACGCGGCAGCCTGGCTGATTGTTTTTGTGGATTCTTCGTCGTTCGACGTGCGGCATGCCGCCACAGAGATGACGTGACAAACTGCGTGAGGTACATGGGTGCACACAGGGCGACACTGTGGTAGACCTTTCTTTACGAAGAAGGTGCAGTGGTCCGTTCTGCCGTAGGTGGAGGCTGATGCAGATTCAATTTTGGCAGGGCGGCATGGAGTCAGTCCTCTACTTCTGGCATGAGCCGGTGCTCTAGACATCCTGAAGGTCAGGCGCAGTTGTCAGGAGTGCGTGTATTGCTGAGCCAAGGCCCCATGATCCGGCTAGCAGTGGCTAGTGGTCCCGGTCTCGGTGCTTTCACGTGGGCTTTGGCAAAAGGCACAGATGTCAGGTTCGGTAATTCCATTGGTGGCGGAGTGTACTATCGAGCCGTGCGCAAGTGTTCGGCACCAAGTGCTGAGTTGCGCACAATTGGAACGATGTTGCAGCTTCGGGCTTAGGGTTTAGAACTTAAATAACTGCCACTGCCAATGAGGCCTCCGCAGAAAGGTTGGGATAGCGGCCTGGTGCTCCTGGACGTCTGCACAAGGCCATCGCAGGAACGAGTGAATGCCGAATGCGCCAGCTTCGAATGCCAGGCCCCATGGAAGCTTTGAGCGCAAAGCTAGCGCACACAACTTGAAATCTGGCCACGAGTGATGTGCAACCGGCTGCAAGACCGTGCCACCAAAAGAAGCTGCTTAGTTAAGTGACATGCGAAGAGGCTTTGGTGTGTCAAGTATGCAAGTCATGCTGTAGGACAAAACTGTGCTGTCGCATATCGGGCGGAGAAGCAGACATGGCCTGGAAATCGACAGCTCACGCAGGGCGTTGAAATGGCGAGCAGGGGAAAGGAGTGGGTCACCAGCTCTGAGCCTTCAGCCGGATATCTGCTTGCAAGCTCGAGAGCACAAGAAGCGGGGCGCTTCCTGCGCCACCAATGTTTTCAGGAGACGAAATCTGCAGGTAAGGGAATCGCAGATATCGCCAGGCTTGAGAAGCCTGGAGAGAAGACGAGAGCAAGAGCGGGAGAGAAAAAAATCGGAACAAGTGGCAGGCGGAGAGAGGCAAGCAGCTGAAAGCAGGGGGAAAGTAGCGCACAAGGCCGAGAAAGCTGAGCAAAGACGTGGATGCACACGAAGCGATGGGATGCCCGTTAATCATCTTTAGTACAGCTCAATGCAAACGCCTTATAATTGAAACGGGTGGTAGATTAAGCCTGTCTGGCAGTCGTACATGACTGGAAACACGCTGTATGCCATCCTGGCTCGGAAGACTCTTTCCAACCTTCCTCCGCTGGGCTGTGAGGCAGCATCCAAACCATCGTGCGCGTGCGCAGATTTGTTGCAGTTGTATGCCAGGCGAGTACATGCCGCGGCGGATTGTTGCAAAGGCCCCGTTGCCAGCAGTCACCGAGATATTTGTGCCCTCTTGTGTGATTGTATGCAGGGCTGGCAACAATTGAACTTACAACTTGTGATGCACGGCGCTGGAAGAGTGTGTCACTGTTCAAATGAGTGTCCAGCCAGCATGGCGAGGGAGCAGGCTGCGTCAGACTGAAGCGCACTCATGCGAACATGAGTGGTTTGAGTGTGCACGCAACCATGAATGACAGCTAGGCCCCCTCCCCCCCCCACAATCCCTCTGGTCCTCGCGCAAGGCTGCGCAAGAGCCCAAGGCTGCGCAAACTTCAGCGCGGGTCTCATGCAAATCTCTTGCTTGGGATTGCGTTGCGCCCTTCTTGGCTTGCGTCGGCTTCGCAAGAGAGAGAGAGAGAGAGAGAGAGAGAGAGAGAGAGAGAGAGAGAGAGAGAGAGAGAGAGAGAGAGAGAGAGAGAGAGAGAGAGAGAGAGAGAGAGAGAGAGAGAGAGAGAGGAGAGAGAGAGAGAGCAAGAGAGAGAGAGAGAGAGAGAGAGAGAGAGAGAGAGAGAGAGAGAGAGAGAGAGAGAGAGAGGAGGAGAGAGAGGAGAGAGAGAGAGAGAGAGAGAGAGAGAGAGAGAGAGGAGAGAGAGGAGAGAGAGAGAGAGAGAGAGAGAGAGGAGAGAGAGAGAGAGAGAGAGAGAGAGAGGAGAGATAGAGAGAGAGGAGAGAGAGAGGGAGAGAGAAGTGAGAGAGAGAGAGAGGGAGAGAGAGAGAGGAGGGAGAGAGAGAGAGAGAGAGAGAGAGAGAGAGAGAGAGAGAGAGGGAGAGGGAGAGGGAGAGGGAGAGGGAGAGGGAGAGGGAGGGAGAGAGAGGGAGTCTCCAGCAAGTCAGTGGAGTAAGATACGTCGCATTGGTGTTGATACGTTGAGACTGTGGCAGTTTCTGAAATGTTGGGACCCTGTTGGGATTCCTGAGCTTCCGACAAATCTGACGCCCTAAAGTGTGCCGCTTCGAATTCAAATCATCGTTCGAGAAAGTTCAAAGTGGCGTGCCGTTGAAGTTGGGGCCATCCAGGCTTCATGCGCCTTCAGGGGTTTGTAGGGCCTCCAGAGCCTTCCCAGGGCTCAAAGTTCAAAAGCGGTCTGTTCCGGTTTCAATATGTTGAAAGAGCTTAATATAGAGCGCTTCCGCGCGTTTGATCTCGGGGCGCAGGGTCCTCCAGAGCATAGCAAGCTTCGTCAAGCTTCTGCAGCCTGCGGATGCGGACCACCCTAACGTGGGTTGCTGCAGAGAGGGACAAAGTCATTATCTAACTTAGCTGGATAAGAAAATCGCACGCCCCAGGGTCTGATTCTTAGTCCCAACGATTTCTCATTCTATGTGTTCCCCACGTTGTTGCCTACATCTGAGGTGGTGACTCCGGTTCCAAGGTCCAAGAAGGCCAGATGCAGGTGTTGCCAGGGATTCGTGGCAGCGGCGCATAGTGGCGCTCCCATATTCCAAACAACCAGGTGCTGAGACACACGTGCCAGTACTTAAGCCTCTTCGTGCATGTAGGGCATGCCGACTTTAGTGACTTTAGTGATCATTGGAGGTTGTTTTTTTGGGAAAAACACGAAAGTCGACCAGATCCTATGAAAATTGAAAAGGGAATGTGGCATTTTCCAAGGAAGACCAGTAGACCGGGGCACCAGGAGACCAGGGGACCACGAAGAGAAAAAAAAAAGTACCAAAAAAAGAAAAAAGTACCAACAAAATTCTCCACCCAAAAACCTTTGTCCATTTCTATTAAGACTTCAGGTACATTCTGTTAATTGCTTGAGAGGCTTTAGCGTCTGCAGCTGCGGTTGCGAAGCTTGCAGGTTTAGGTTTGGGAAGGTTCGTGTGCAAGGGATTTCGCAAGCCTTCCCTGGGTTCGTGTCACCCTGGGGTCCTCGAACCATATTTGGCCGCAGGGCTCGCGCGCACGATGCCACCATGCGAAGGTTCATGAATACTGCGCCAAGCCCTATAGCCAGGTAAAGTTTGCAGCGCTTTGCTGGGCCCCAAAAGTTGCCAATGGGTTGGGAGAGGTTCGCTGAACTTTTTGGCGCTCGTTGGGGGTTCGTGACACGTCGTGACTCCAATAGATTGGCAGCCGATTCGAAGCTGACACAGTCGCAGAGCCTATGAGTCCACACTCGTAAAGCAGAAGATAGCCGAGTGCTCTGCAAAAACACCTGAATCGACGTTACCTTTGTTTTCAATTGAATGGGCCAAAACAGGTCACTAAAAAAGATTGGCTAAGACTTCATTGGCAAGATAAGCTGAATGGATTTGTGTGGCTGGTTTCTGGCTAGTTCTATTGACCCAGGAACATACCCACATAAGTTCCATTGAATGATCTCACGCCACCAAAGTCGAGCTTTCGACTTTGATGTAAACACATAACTGCACCGACTTGTCACTCATCGATTACCATGCCAGCCAGCGGGCTGAGGGTTTGGAGTTTAGGTTCAGGGTTCAGTGCTTCATTCGTTCTGCGTCGAATCCCTTTGCGGCTTTGTCGCGTCATCTGCCCTTCAGAGCCCTAACGCCTAAACCTTGAACCCTAAAGCCCGAGCCCAAGACCCTGAAACGCTTAGTAGGCCTCCGCCTCCAATGTTGCCCTTACGAACCCTGAACCTCAACCCCAAACCCTTAACCCGAAACCATTAAACCCTCAACCCCAAAGCCCTAAACCCTAAACCCTAAACCCCCCTGAGCCCCAATGCTGAGGAGCCTCGGCCTGGGCGTGTGCACGCTCCAAGGCTCCTGGAGCTAGCTTGAGACTTTAGAG